TCTCATACTCCTAGGTTCTTTGACTCGTCAGTGTCTTATTGAAATGAAACTTGAAACACGATAAACAACTCATAGCATCTGTATACCATCTTTCATAGAACGTAATCATTTTAAATTTGCGTCAACTAACATATAAGCTAAATGGTGTTTGCTATGCTCTCTTTTAGGATCAGTGGTAGTTGGGTGTGTATACAAGGATCTACATGATTTACTCCAAGCAAAGTCTGACAAAATAAGGTACGTGAATGGCTTAAATATCTAGCATTATATAGCTGGTAGTGCATTAGAGAATATTGAAGGATTCATTCGGTTTTTTCCTGATAAGAGACTAGTTTTATGTATTGGAGAAATAGTTTCAAAGGAAATTTAGTCTCCAATGGTATCCCCCCCGTCCGTCGTATTAAAAACCCCATCGATGGAAAATTGAAATAGTGGAAACGTGCAAAGGTAAGCAGACCCCACTATAAAAGTACATTAAGGTCACGAATCCTTTCTGTCCCGCTGAGATGGACAAGCAAGAGTGAACGAAGGAAGGAAAACGATAAGTATTACTGCTTAATTACCTGAACGTCAAACTTGAGGTACGATCAGTAAAAAGAACAATTATAAGTGTTATGACTTGACCGAAGTGTCTGCATCCCTGTTAAAGCTTTCCTGAATTTGTACATGTCAAGGATATTTCAGAGATCCTAAAAACTGACGTTTATGTGTCATTGGTAGATGAAAGCTAGTAGCTCGTCATTTGCCTACTCAATGAAACGAAAAGTGACCTCTGTTTTTTTTCTTTTGATTAATATCTAATATATAATATTTTATTTATTTAGGCATGTGCAGACTAGGATTATAATGGCAGCTATGAATCCTAAACCTGTAAAGTTGCAAGAAAATGTAATTTTGACGTTCAAGAACCTGAAGGTAACAACGAAAGCAAAGTTATACTTAGTGGGCTCAGTTTAGATCAGTTTCAGTTGAAATTAGTTTTGGCTTAGTTGATGCATCATTTAAAAGAGATTAAACTTGAATCAATTCTCAGAATAACCCGAGAGAGAAGCATTGTATGTTCTGGAGTGGCCTAAGCAAAAGGTAAAACGGGAAAGCAACTGACATTACCATCACTTATAATAATATCACATAAAATAATCCATTTGTTCCTTGCTTTTTTCTGGATTGACTGAATTTTTCATTGCAAGGAAGACTTAATATTATCGATCACACGATCACCTGTTCGTGCGGAATGCGGTTGTTGATAATTGGCAGAAGTCTGACCGATGAGTTTTCACAAGATATCAATAAAGGGACTATACTTTGAGTGTTAATCTCGATTTCCTCCGCTGGTTATCACCCTTAATTAACCTTGATTCTAGGTGGCGAACTCAAAACCCACCAAAGCCAAAAGCCAAGCGATACGTTGAAAAGACATAAATAAGCCTTGTCACGAGCAATCAAATTGATGCTGCTTACCAGCTCTGAATCCAGTCTTCGATATCCAACCGGCTTAAGTGAATAATCCCAGTA